AGTGTGTATGCCCAGATGCAAAATCTTAGGCGCCGAGTGAATTTAGGCACCTACAGGTTTAGGCGGCAGCTGAGCGGGAGCTTTGTGGATCTTAAGTGGGGCTTAAAAATGGGATGTAGGCACCTAAGTACCTTCATGGAGCATACCCTCGAACTGTATGCAGTATTCCAGTACATGACTCTCAGATAAAACCTTCCTGCTCCTGCTCACTATTCCCCTGTTTATATATCCAAGGATCCCATTAGCCTTTTTTACAATAGCTTTACTCTCTGGGAGCTCTGACCCCTAAATCCTTTTCCGAGTCACTGCTTTCCTGCATGCAATCCCCCCTTCTGTGGGTATGGCCTGCGTTCCTTATTCCTAGATGTATAACTTTGCATTTGGATGTATTTAAACACATTTTGTTTGAATAGGCCTTGTCTACCAAATGATCTATGAAGCTCTCTATGACTGCCCTCTCATCATCATTATTTACCACTGTACCAGTCTGTGTTATCTGCAAATTTTTGTCAGCTCTGATTTTATATTTACTTCCAGATCACTGATGAAAATGTTGAATAGTGTTGGACCTAGTATCAATATCTCTGGAACCCCACTAGAAACCTCTTCTGTGATGATTCCCGGTGACAATTTATGTTTTGAGATTTGTTAGTTTTTAATCTATTTAATGTGTGCCTTATTGATATTCTATAGTACTACTTTTTTAATCAGAATGTCATGCAGTCCTAAATCAAACACTGTACACAAGTCTATTACATCTACACACTTACTTTTATCAGCCAAACTTGTAATTTCATCAAAGAATGAAATCAGGTTTGTTTGAGAAGATCTGTTTTCCACAAAAGCATGTAGACTGGCATTAATTATGTTCGTCGTTCTTTATCAACTGAATCCTGTATCAACTTTTCCATTATTTTGCCTGGGATTGATGTCATGCTAACCAGTCATTAGTGACCCGTGTCATCCTGCTTGCCCTTTTTGAATATTGGCACATTAGCATTTTACCAGTATTTTGGAATTTTCTTGGTATTCCAAGATTTGTTCAAAATTTGACAACAGTGTGTCAGAGATCTTTTCAGCCAATTCTTTTAGGAGTCTTAGGTGCAAGTTATCCAAGCCTGCTTACTTTTAAAATATTTATCCCTAATCGACGATGATTAACATGCTCCCTAGTTACTAGTGGACTAAAAAGTACTTCCTCATTCTTATGTGATACTTCTTTCCAAATAAAGAATAGAAATATTTATTGAATATTTCTGCCTTTTCTACAGAATTATTAACAATTTTACCATTTCCATCTACTAATGGGCCTATACAATGTTTAGGATTTCTTTTGTTTTTAATATACATAAAAAGCTCATTATTGTTCATAGGCCTGCTGGCCATGGATTTTTTTTCATTTATGTTTTTAGCTTTCCTTATCAATTTTCTGCGCTTCATAAATTCTAATTTATATTGATTGCTACCTATTTCTCTTTTTCGCCACTTGTTATATCTTGCTTCTTTATTTCTAATTGCTGCCTTCACTTTGCCACTGAATCTGGATGGGCTTTTAGCCAAAGTTGTTCTCTCTCTTCATTATGGAATCGTGGCTTTTTGGCCATCTAATAAACTCTTCTTAAAGAACCCCCAGTTTTTATTCACATTTTTCTGTCTAATTTTTTTCTCACAGTTAGTTTTGCTCATAATTTTCTTCAGCTTTGGGAAAGTATCCAACTGATAAAATGACATAAATGAATACAATAACAACTGGGCTTTCTTTATCTAATTTAAAAGTTGAGAAGCGGGGAATAAATTGCTTAATTTCATCAAATCATAGTAAATTCTAGGTCTCTTACAAATTAAGCAAAAAGTATTTCATTATAAACAGTCTAGCATATGGGTGGCCAACCTGAGCCTGAGAAGGAGCCAGAATTTACCAATGTACGTTGCCAAAGAGCCACAATAATATGTCAGCTCCACGCCCCCGCTCCCAGCGCCTCCCACCAACTGGCAGACCTGCCAATCAGCGCCTCCCGCTCCCTGCCCACCTCCCGATCAGCTGTTTTGTGTCATGCAGGAGGCTCAGGGAAGGGGGAGGAGTGAGGGCACAGCAGGCTCGGGGTGGAGAAGGGGCAGGGCCTCTGGCAGAGCCAGAGGTTGAGCAGTGAGCCCCTCCCACCCCCGGCACACTGGAAAGTTGGTGCCTGTAGCTCCAGCCCCGGAGTCGGTGTCTATACAAGGAGCTGCATATTAACTTCTGAAGAGCCGCATGTGGCTCCGGAGCCACAGGTTGGCCACCCCTGGACTAGGATTAATTTAAAGAGAAATGAATTAGCTAGATGAGAGCTACTACGCATTAGAATTTTATAATAGGATGAACAAAAGTAATTTTCCATTATTTTGTATGAAAAATAAGGATCCATCAGCATAAAAATGTCTCTGTTCTTTCAAAAAGGGATCTGCTAACAATAAACTCTCCTAGTTTAACATCTGCTGAAAGTTTTCAGCAGAATGGAAAATGATTAGTTCCTTGCCCGTATTGAACTGTAGTGGATGTTTTTGTTCTTGGTCCTAGAAATGACTCACTGTTTGACACCAGCAAAGCAAAAGTAATATTTCAGTCTTGTATTTGAGTTCTGAATGATCAATAACAGATCAAATTTGAATTCTAATATAGCGCTTACGTTAGGTGCACACTAATTTATGACCTTGACAAAGACGATCTGAAAAAAGGCAGCTTTCTAAAACACTGTATAAAGCAAGCAGCTTCCAGGGTGACCAAGGGCACTGAAATAGAGCATGGGATACTCTTGAGCTTGTGTAGTCCTGCTGATTCTTAAACCTGCAGCAACTGTGGCTGATGCCAGTTTGAAAAGTAGGATTAACAGTTTGAACTAACTTGAGGCGACTAGATCAGGTAGTAAGTGCTTAAACATTCATTAATATAACACGATTAGCTGAAATCTGAGAGCAATAAGATGACTTAAGGATGAAGTGTCAGCCTTAACTCAGAAATTCTTTACTGTTGTCATGAGCTTTAAGTCAAAGCTTAATGCCTGTATTTATGTGTGAGGAGGCATATTGGTGGCAAATGCATATGGCTACTTTTTGAATGCCCAGAAGTGGGGAAATGAAACAGCTGATAAAGGAACTAGATGCTACTCAGAGACACATTTTCATGAATGTAATATACTCCTTAAAAGAAGCCTATCAGTTGGATCTAGTAAGAATACTCCATTTGTCTGACTTTCCCCCGCTCAGTCTAATCTTCCTCCTTCCCACTGCCAGCATTAAATCACTAGCGGTGGGTAAAAGAATAGTAATGCATAATGAGTCCACTAAGAAATCATGACTATATGATATTTCTTTCCCCAGTCCTCAAAGGACCTTTTGATTCATATAGTGGCACTTCTTTTTGCACACATTTTTAAACTTAGATCAGAAATCATAACTGCCTTGATATTAATATCTATCTTCATAATTGGTCTCTGGCAAATACTGTGATTCCAACTTCCCTTCATATACTTTATGATCTTACAAACTTAACAAAGGTTTGAATTAATAAATGAAAGACATTTTTCATGGTAGTCATTGAGAAGAAATAGTTTTGTTCACATGGGATCCTTCTACACTGACCTAAATGACTTAATATATTTGGAGTGATTAAAAGTTCATTGTTAAATGGTATGAAAGCTGTTCATGGGTGGGAAACTAAAAAATCAACTGAAAACTCATAGAGACAGATGTCATTCTGTTTGGGTAGGATTCTTTTGACAATGGTATATTTCTTTTGAGCCTCTGCTAAAAAGAGAGTTTACTGTCTATTTATAGGTGCTTATACTATGAGCCTTTGTACCTAAACAGGGTACAAAGTACAGGGTATAGATATTGCTTCAGAATGGGGAGTAACCTGAGACACCCTTCAGTAAGGCCAACACTTATTAAAATTAGCAATTAAACTTGATTAGATGTCAGGAGAGATCATCTGAACATCCACTCAGTGGCAGTTAAAATAGGGACTTTTCTTTAATGGATCACAGACACTGTGCATCCTTTACATGCTCAGAGTTTTGTCTCATTATTTCAAATTATCCAAAGTACCTAGTGGATGTCAATATTGCTTCTAACAAATACAGCTTGCTGTAAAGGTACCGTATTTGGCATTCCAAAAATCTTTAAATCTTTAACAAATAAAATAGATTTAGCATCATTGTAAAAAGACAAGGTGATGAACCATATGTGATTAGTACCTCTCCTTCCATCACTCTGTCTCCTCCTCCCCGCCCCCACCATGCCCAAAATCCTGCCCATGTGTAGTTTTTCTTATGGTTCTTGTTCAGTACATTTACTTGGGGAAAAAAAAACAATAATAAAAAAAACCCATCCCAAAATAAACTGGAGTTAAATTACCAGGAAACAAAATAGAAAAACAGGGCTACCACCTGTCTTGTAGGGTATGTTTACATGGCTGTTAGACACCCACGGCTGGCCCCTGCCCAGCTGACTCCTGCTCACAGCACTAGGGCTAAGAGGCTGTTTAATTGAAATGTAGACTGTCAGGCTCGGACTGCAGCCCTCGCTCTGGTATCCTCCCACCTGGCTGCATCCCAAGCCTGAATGTCTACAGCACAGTTTCACAGCCCTTTATCCCGAATCAGCTGGCACAGGCCAGGTGCATGTTTTTAATTGAAGTATAGACATACCTGTAGTAGCTACCTGTGGAGTCCTCCTTACACCACCTGCTGGAGAATGTGATTGGCCAGCAGCCTCCAGCCCCCACTAATTCTTTTCCTAAGGGTGGGGTAAGTCAAGCTACAATTAAACTTTTGTTTGTTAGTGGCCTGTTAGTGCGCATTCACCAGGTCACAATTTATTAAAATTACTTTTATATATAAATACCAGTATGAGGACTAGATGGTTTTCTAAATGCTGTGTATTATGCTTTCTACATTTGTTTTTGTCGTGCATCTTACAGAGGAAAAGTATCTTTCTCTCCCCCCCTCCCCCCTGTTCCCCAGGTGCTGTTCTTTCTTTGGTTTGTCGTGACTCTTACGAAGCATGGTGCCAGATCATCAATGTGTCAGAAACACAGGCCCCTTTCTTTACCTATCCAGACAATCATTCCAATGAAACAAACCTGAGTGTTTCCACATCTGCGGGAAGCAAATATAGGCTCTATGTGGGTGTGGCCCTGGCCATAGGTTCCAGTATTTTTGTTGGCTCCAGTTTTATACTGAAAAAGAAGGGCCTTCTGCAACTGGCTGACAAGGGAGTCATCAGAGCTGGTAAGAAATATTTACTTGCTTATCTTTGACAGAAAGAATGTCTGTCTATTTTTTTATCATAAGTCAGCAAGTTCAAGGTTCAAGCCAACTGATGTTTTCTGTAGTTGACTACAGGTAATATTGGATTTAAGGACCTTTAGGGGGATGCAGATGGGAGTGGGTTTTATATGTATCCAAGGTCTTTCTAATGCACCCACCACAATAATACCTAGGAGCTAGATAAAAAGTTCTTCCTCTGCCCCACTACCCGAAGATTTTTGCTGTTTCTTCCATTTCAGTATGGGTGAGGGAAACACTTGAGTTATGATAATGCAGTTATAAAAGTAGGTATTTGAATACATGCCCAGCTTGTGGATTTGCAGGATGTGGAATTAGGACAGTCTGAAGAGAACTAAGCTCTGTTTTTGTAAATTAAAAGCTATCAGGAAAAGTCACTGCAAAACAGAGTATTAATAAAAACTTACTAGCTAACTTGCTGGCAGTATTTTTAACAACTGTGTAGTACAGGAATTATCTCTGCAGTAAGAGTGAATTGGCCCATCAAAGTCAATAGGAATAGAATTAGACTAGTTTGGAGTGCTTTTGAAAATCCCAGTAGGATGCTGGTATTAGAATTATCACTTAAATCCTTTTTTGAAGGTTTTGAGTTTGTTTTGCTTTGCTATTTTTCTTTTGTTTGCAATGTTTCCTGCAAAATATAATACTCTACCATTCTGGATGCTCTCAGTATTTGAGGAAAAATGGATCTCTCAACATATAACTTGTTTGTATTTTGGATGAGAAAGCTTTGGATAACTAGCAGCTTTATTTTTTATGTAGAAAAACAAGTTTTACGGACCTGTAAGCGTGTTCCAGATGTATCTTGGTATAGATAGCTATGTAGGCTCTGATGTAGCAAATAACTTAAACATATGCTTTACTTTAAGCACATGAGTAATCCTAATTAATGAAGTCTTCTTATCCCTTCTTGTGTCTACTGAAAGTTCAAGATACAGGACTTGAAATAATAGAATTTAATATTAAACAATTATATTTTTAAGAATAACTCAAAATTAGGTGTAGCTGACTCTCTCCATGTCCCATAGAGACTAAGCATTGCACATTCAAGTTTATAAAACTTATTCAAATTGAAGTAGTTAATCTGTAGAATTTGAAATATTAATGACAAATCAGAATTTTGAAGCATCATTTTAACTTTTTTTTCTAATATTAAAAATTATCTTTTCAGGACAGGGTGGATATTCTTACTTGAAGGAATGGCTCTGGTGGGCAGGATTACTTTCAAGTGAGTCACAGTAAAAATGTTTCTACCTTTCTTTGTTAAAGTACATCTAAAACAGAGCAATGTGTGTAACTTTAAAAGGGGTGTGTGGCAGGGAGAACTAGGTTTGGAGGCACCTGCTGAAGGCTTCATGGCCCTACATCACTCTGGTCCAGAACAGAGCAGTGAGAAGTTCTCCAGGCAGCCTAGAGTGGCTGCAGAAGAGTGGCCAATCAGAGGGGCTGCTGGAGCAACCAATAAGGGGCCAGAAGGGCCCTGTATAAGACAAGCAGCAGAGCAGAGAAGTTCAGTTGCTGGGTTGAGCTTGAGGAGTGAAGACTGGGTGGCTGAAAGAACAGTAGTACTGTGGAGAGCTCACAGCAGACAGGACTGAAGCCCAGAGAAGGTTTTTGAAGACTATGTGCCTGGCTTGCGGGAAGAGCAGCAGGACCAGTGGAAGGTCAGTGAAATGCAGGGGAACTGAGCACAGAACCCGGCTAGGCCAATGAGGGTACCGAGATGGGCTCTGCTGGTTTGGCTGAAGACTGAGCCTAGGGAGGCCTGCTGAAACACCACCAGCTGTGGGTACTGAGATGGGCCCCAGCTGGGTGGTTGAAGAAGGCAGTGCCTCTGGGAAGAAGCTTAAGAGCTGCAGTCCCATACCAGGGCTGTGATAAGAACTTGGGACTGTGTATCCCAAAAGGGGGGGACAGTGTGTGCAGCTTGGCCGGAGGGCTGAGCTGTTGAAGACCAGCCAAGAGAATCAGCAGCTGCTGGGGTGCTTGAGAGAGGTAGGCCCCACCCTTACGTAAGACCAAAAGAAAAAGCAAGCTCATATATAACCGAGAGAAAGGGGGCCATCCACAAGAGGAGGATGCCCTCCATAAAAAGGGCAGTAATTGCAAGTATATTGGCCAGAGAAAAGGGGCCCCCATGAGAGGCGGGTGCTGACCCCGTTACAGGATGTTAAAAATTTTAATAAAAAGACTTCAAGGGAAAAAAGACTTGTTTGATTTTTGTTCTCTTCCCTCCTGCCCCCAATCCTGTTAAACAAACCTAGGAATACAAACTGGAGTTGTGTGGAAAGAGGAAAATAGTAGTACATGAAAAGCTGTCCTCACTGCTACCATTACTGTTACATTTTAATATACCAATACAGTAATTTGAAAACTGTTCCTGTGTGTGTATTAACTCTGTAATATCTTTATTTTGGTTACATCCAGCAGTAATTGGTAGATATGTATAATTTTGAATATGTTTGAACATTAGTGTGGATAATAAGAAATATTATTTTACTACCTACCTTTCTTGTCAAACATCTTATCCTCTGTCTAGTGCCCATCATCTTAACACTTCTAGCAGTTTTTTCTGTACTAATATTGTTTCTCTTCTAGTGGGAGTAGGGGAGGCTGCCAACTTTGCTGCCTATGCCTTTGCACCTGCAACCTTGGTTACCCCATTGGGTGCACTGAGTGTTCTTATAAGGTTAGTATGAGTCAAAAGCAGCCACTGAGAAGTGAGCCTTTTACTATATAAGAAAATACTGTATTTTTATTGCACAGGGAGGATTTTAAAAGAAAACTCTGTATGGCAAATCCAGATAAAAATTTGGCTCCTAAATTACAAGGCCAGAAGGGACCACTGGGATCATCTAGTCCAGTGGTTCTCAAACTTTTTTTTTGCAGACCACTTGAAAATTGCTGAGGGTCTTGGCGGACCACTTAATCTTTCCAAATGTTGTTTGTACCATTAGCTAACTATTGTAAAGTGCTTTGGATAAAAGTGGTATATTAAAAAAACTTAATAATTTTTTATTCTACAAATAAAAGCACACAACTCCTATTTTAATATCAGTAGTCTTACCTTTCTAATGCGATGGTTGTGCTCTCTCTCCCCTGCTGTGGCAGCTCCAGAGCTGGGGCTGGGAAGGAGGGGGATCTCTCCCTCTCTCCCCTGCCACAGCAGCCACAGAGCTGAGGCTGGGAAGGAAGGCTGTCTCTCCCTGGCAGTTGCAGCCCTGGAGCTGGGGAAAGTTTGCCTCTTTCTTTCTGGCTGCCACAGTCCTACATATCCGAAATTCCCCCCACCCCCTCTTCTCACCTCACTGCCCCTTCCCACCTACCCTCTCTTCCCACCAAGGCCACCATCTCACCTTATATGTGCGTCTTTTCCAGGGTCCAGGCACCTAATTAGTGCGGCTGCACAGGCGTGGCTCCACTAATTAGGTGGGTGACCCTTCATTCTCTTGTGTGCGGCTGCCCAGATGCGCACCTTAGAGGGAACTATCCGCGGACCACCTGAATGGAGCTCACAGACCACAGTTTGAGAACCTCTGATCTAGTCCAACTTCCTCAATAACACAGGCCATAGAACTTCTCCCATATAATTCCTAGAGTATACATTTTAGAAAAAGAAGCTGAGAATTGGCGAGAGGGGATGGATCACTTGATGATTACCTGTTCTGTTCATTCCCTCTGGATTGGCATTGGCCATGGTTGGAAGACAGGATCCTGGGCTAGATGGACCTTTGGTCTAACCCAGTATGGCCATTCTTATGAGCATCTCCCTTACAAAAGGAGACTTAATGAGCTTGGCTTGTTTAGCCTAACAAAACAAAAGCTGAGTGGAGATATGGTTGCTCTTTATAAATATATCAGGGGCATAAAAACCAGGGAGGGAGAGGAGCTATTTCAGTTAAGGGTCAAGGCTGGCACAAGAAGAAATGGATATAAGCTGGCCGTCAACAAGTTTAGGCTTGAAATTAGATGAAGGTTACCATGAGAGAAATGAAATTCTGAAACAGCCTTCCAAGGGCAGTAGTGGGGGCAAAAAAACCTAACATGTTTCCAGACTGAGCTTGATAAGTTTATGGAGGGGGTGGTATGAGGAGGTTGCCTACAATGTCATATGGCCCATCTGTGAGGACTATCTCCAATGGCCAGAGATGGGATACTAGATGGGGAGGGCTCTGAGTTACTACAGAGAATTCTTTCCGGTGTGTCTGGCTAATGGGTCTCACCACATGCTCACGATCACCATATCTGGGGTTGGGAAGGAATTTTTCCCACAAGTCAGATTGACAGAGATCATAGGGCTTTTTTGCCTTCCTCTGCACCGTGGGGCACAGGTCATTTGCTGGTTTGAACTAGAATAAATGGTGGATTCTCTGTAATTTAAGTCCCAAATCAAGATTTGAGGACTTCAATAACTCAGCGAGTGGTTATGGGCTTATTACAGGAGTGGGTAGGTGAAGTTCTGTGGCCTGCAATGTGCAAGACGTCAGACTAGATTATTATGATGGTCCCTTTTGGTCTCAAAGTCTGAGATTTGATTACAGGGAGAAAATATTGGGTACTAAAGGCTCTTTAATCAAGCAAAGAAAGGCATAACAAAAAACAGTGGCTCAAAGTTAAAGCCAAACAAATTCAGATTAAATATAAGTCAAAAATTATCAATGAGGGTGATTAATCATTGGAAGAAGGTAGCTACCAAGGGTAGTAGTAGAGATGATGTCTTGTAGTGGAGCATGTCTTGATGTTTTCATATCCTGACTGGATGCTTTTCTGAAAGGTATGCTTTATTCAAAGCCAAGTTACTTTAATCAGGGTAAGAATAAATGGGTGAAATGTAATGGCCTGTGATATATTGGAGATCAGACTAGATGATCAAATTGTTCTCTGTGGCCCTAAAATCTAGCAATTATTATATCCATTTTCTTAGCTTCCAGTTTCTATATAGCCATACGCTTCTCAATTTGCTTGTTTGCATTAGTGTGTACTTAAAATAAGATGTTGTGTTCACCTAATATGTTTTGCAATTGTCTAATATTATATCACTTCATCTAGTCATGATGTTTCAAAGTTGTACGGTATAACTAATACATTGTAGTCTGCAACCATACCATTTTGGTGCATGATCCTGTTGGATCTGACAAGCTTAGAAGCATCAGGCTGTCAGTACTTGGATGGGAGACTCCAGGGAATATTTAAGTGATACAAGAAGTGATTAAGTAGGTGGTGATTTTCCTTCCAAATCAGTACTATACTAGTTCCTCAGCATTGTGTGGGAAGACGCTCTGGTATGGATCCTGGTCACTTGTAATCACACAAATGTTAAATGATCTCATGGCACTTTATGTAAGAGTAGAGATGCTTGCCTCTCTGACCTGGCCAGATTCCAATTCAGTTAATTACATTCCATTTACCTAAAATGTCTCTTTGCCATTTCAACTGAATCATATCACTTTCTGTCCAAATTTATTGTAAATGTTACTGTACATGCACAGTTTCAGAAGTAGATGAAATAATTTCTAGATGTATCTATGTTTGAATATTGCAGTCCATCACAGTGTTATCTGAGTAGATATAAATCCCTAATCTCATGAGAGAGTTGAGATGCTTATCAGTTTGTAAGCACTGGTATTTTGTATGTGTGATGTGTTAGATGCTAAAGTAGTATAATGATATTGTGCTGAAACAAAGGTAAATTTAAAAAAGCTGGCAAATGCCTGGCTCGGGCACCAGTCTTGCTCGGATCCCGTGTGAAATTGACCTAGTTCTAATCCCAAATGGTTGCAGTCCAACAGGACTACATCCTGACTTCTACTCTACAATCCTATGTTTTCCTTGCCACACTAGCTCCAGAAAAGCCAGTCTCCAGCTTTCTAAACCTGGGGGCCATTGATTCTTTAAGTCTTTTGTTCTATGGCTTGTGTGTCAGTAGGGCTTGCCTCTGTATTCATTCATAGGTATCCAAAAGGAAAAATGACTGGAAAAACTGGAGCTCTGTCTGACCTTGTAAAGTTATGGGGAAGGATGTGGGGGGAAGAGTCAAGGCCTGTTGGAAAGCCCCATAGAAAATGGGGCAAGATTTATCTGACCTTTATAGAATTTTTAAAAGCTTTGGAAAAAGGTTGATTTGGCTGGTTTTTATTTACTCTCAGCTGGTTTCCTTATCCCCAAATCCAAACTTTTTTTTAATTAGTATCACTATACATAAAAGCATTATGACTATATTATAAATAGGTTCAGCTGCACAAATCAATTACCTTTTTTTAAATCCACAGTGCAATATTGTCTTCCTATTTTTTAAATGAAAAGCTCAATGTTCATGGGAAATTAGGCTGCATATTGAGCGTTTTGGGGTCAACGGTGATGGTTATTCATGCCCCTGAAGAAGAGGAGGTCACTTCTTTAGATGAAATGGAAATAAAACTGAAAGATCCAGGTCTGTAACTTAAATCATCTGTATTTAATGAAAAAATGCCTCTCAATGTCTCTTATTTTTATAGATATGTCAGCTCGCACTAGACCTGTCCATAAGTGAGTAATTGGAGGGTTTTCCTGTGTTATGTTACCATCACCCCATTCACTTTCACCTGAAGATGAAATGGAATTTGTTATCACTTTGGTGCTTTACTATACTATAGCATACCTTGAAAGCAAAAATCAGGCTGTGAATGTAAGCAAGCAAGACTGACTTGAAGCATCTTTACACTAGTAGTTAAAAAATAAACAAAGAAAAATCGGCATTTACAAGAAAGCATGGCTAACTCTAAATGCTGTGCCTGTTATCATATGAAGACCACGATAATACAGGCAGTCCTTGACTTTACGAGGTTCGACTTACGAACGGCACTTACGACATTTCTGAATTGACACCCTAATTTAACTTTATGATGGTCAGTCCCGGAATGGAGTGGATTGCGGTTCCAAGTTATGACGTTTCAACTTATGATGTAATTTTCAGGAACCGATTGTGTTGTAAGTCCGAGGACTGCCTGTCGTTTGTATGGTGTAGTTAATTTCTTATTCTTGCCTGGTGCTCCTGGTTTCCAATCTGCAGATCTTGGAGAATATGCGGGAGGCACAGGGCCATTTGTGATGAGACTTTGTGAGCCAGTTATGACAGCAGCCAGAGTTCTATTCTGTTAGTGCTATGCTGGCAGCAGGGGAGTTATTACTATCCTTGCATTACCTATTTAAACAGAATAGCTAATATTTATATATGCTTTCTTAAAGATTGGGAGAGTGGGAAAGACTTTGAGTCTAGTGGTCAGTCTCCAGAGGCTCTTCACTCTCTCTGTTCCCTTCACTAGCCTCCTTGCACCCAGGCCCAGGCAGCTGAGTCATTTTGGGGAGGTGGAGATGGGGAGGAATACTTGTCTTTCCTTTTCCTGTTTACCCCTCTCTGGTGAGAGACCATGAGAGAGAGAATCTAGGGAAGGGAGTGTTGTATTGGCATCTGTCCTGTCAACCAGTAATGCAGGATTTGAGAGTGGTGCTGTTTGTTCCTGCTTCCCCGCTCCTACCATTAGCAGTGGGTGGTCCTTGTACTGCTTCAGCATACCCCATAACTGCTGAGCAGCTTCTTTATTTAACAGCTAAGTTGCCTCCTTTGCATTCCCTAATGTTGTTCCACTGAGAAGTCCCTAGGGGACTGCCTCCCAGATGTCAGAGTAGGGGTGGGTCTTATTCCTGTGCAGAGGGCTGGATGCTCCTGGTAGCCCCATATCCCACCCATCCTATACCTCCTCAAATTATTATTATTTTTTTTTACATAAACACAACTTTGGCCATGATTGACCTATACAGAGTGCAGATCTACTCTGAAAATGAATTAAGTAAAATTCACTCATATCTGCTCACTTGAGTAATAGAAATAAATATTTAGCCCCAGATTTTAAAAATGGATGCCAAAAGCTTGGCACCTGGGTTGATTTTCAAAAGAACGAAGTGCCCAGCAGTTTCCGTTGATTTCAGTGGAGTAGTTGGGGGCTAAGCACATCTGAAAATGAAGCTGAGATAAGGAAAACTTTTGATTTTTTTTCTAGTAAATTGAAAATAAAATGGTATGGAAACCTATTGAGAGGCAATAATCCTGGAACCCCACAACTCCATATTTCCAGAGTCACTGTTCAGAACAGACATGCACATTAAGTGGTCTGTGTTTCTCTGTCCGTTTGTAACTCCACATTAGTAAGATTTCAGGAGCAACTTTTCAATTTATCTAGGGTATTTCTTTTAAAAAAAAAAACACAAAACTTAAAGTTCTCATAAGCCAGATTCTTTACGCACAGAGCATCCAGAGGTAGCTGGTACCCCCAGTGCAAGGGAACTGTCTGCCAGGTGTCTCCACCACCTCCTGCATCAGGTATCCCACCTCCTGTTAGCATAAGGCCCATTTTTAAAACTGGTTGGGTTGTTTTGCCACCACTAGTGCTAATGAAAGGCTGCTCCAGAGTGTCTCTCCTCTGATGGCTAGAAACTGTCTTCTAATTTCCTCCCTATTTATTTGCCCCTATGATCTCTATAAATACATCAATTATATCATGAATCTTGCCCATATGCTCAGGGTTTAGCTGATCGCCATATTTGGGGTCAGGAAGGAATTTTCCTCGAGGGCAGATTGGAAGAGGCCCTGGAAGTTTTTGGCCTTCCTCTGTAGCATGGGGCACAGGTTACTTGCTGGAGGTGAGAGGTTTTTTGCAGGAGTGGTGGGTGAAATTCTGTGGCCTGCATTGTGCAGGAGGTCAGACTAGATGATCATAATGGTCCCTTCTGACCTAAATATCTATGAATCCTTCAGCCTTAATTTTGCTGGAAGCCAAGTTCACTTAGTCTTCCTCCTCCCATAAGATTGACTTGCCATTCTCTTGATCATTGTAGTAGCCCTTCTTGGCACCTGTTCTAGTTTTGAATTCATCTTTCCAAACATAGATGATCAGAATTGTATACAGTATTTGAGATGAAGTCTTATCAGTGCTTTGTACAATGTCATTACAATTCCCTGTCTCTATTGGAAATACCTTGACTGAGACATCTTAGATCCCATTTGCCTTTTTCACAGCCATATCACATTGATTGAGTAGTACACCCAAGTCTCTGTCCTCTTCTGTCATTTCCAGTTGATTAGCCCCTAATTGTGACAGTTCTGGGGATGCCCAGGACTAAGTCACCTTGTTAGCGCCCTCCTCTCCCCCCCCCCCCCAGTGAGAGAGAGACTTACTGGTGCTTAACTGGGTGTCATCTCCCTGACCCTGCCAGATTATTAGCCACCCAAACAGTCTTCTCAGGCAATGTCAGCCCTTGCTTTTCCTTGCAGAACCCAGTACCCAAGCCGCTTTGAAGCATTCCCTTGTAGTATTTAGCCCCTCATCCACTGAACACTCACAGAATTTCCAGGTCAGCTGTCCCCAAAAGGAGAGTATTCACAACAGCTTGGATGATTCAGTTTAGGATCAGCTTTCTCATATAACACCACAGCACTGAGTTATATTTATAGTGAAAACAATCATAAGTTTATCATCATAGACGGAGATTTAAGAGAGTATAGATAATGAAAAGTGAAAGGCTACATGTAAAACAAAATCATGACTCACTTTCTAGAGATTAAACTTAAATTCTATTTCAGGAAGTTTCTCACCCCAAATGTCTCTTGCATGTCTCTTCAGCCAAGCCTGGTTGAGATCCCATTTTCATGAATGTACACAACATCTGTTTAATTCCTTAGGTGCAGGCTAAAAGGGTGTCTTTTTGCCTTCCCCTTATATTTCCCGGAGTTAATTGTCTGTCCCCACAGACAGGGCAACCCTCTTTGGTTCAAGGTCTGGTGTCTTGTCTCCCTGTTGACTTTGTATGTAAATAAGTTGTGTTGTGTTGGCTTACAATACTTAATTTACATTTCAACAGAGATACACATCTTACCCCATCTGCAAGAAACCTGTTTTTCTCTTTGATTGGTGACAAACTTCAAAACATATTTGCAGTACATATGCACGGCTCCCTAAATATCACCCATACATACGTCGCATGACAATCATGAGACTCAGCATGATATAAGTTGTCTGGATTTTTTTAGAGACCTCCCATGACCTTATTCATGGATAAATACAATTAAAGCTGTGTGCTAGGTGTTGTGAGTTTGTCAGGCATGTTAGGGGTTTCAGTTACACAACAGTAAACCCTTTGCTAGTTGGCATTGAGGAGTTCTTCGGGTCATGGTAGCTTATAGCAAAAACTTCTGTTCAAGTAGCGTCCCTATGTGTGTTCCACTTCAGGTGCACATGCACCCTGCTCATCTTTAATTGGAGATTTTCATTAGCAGTGTCTGTTTGGCTTGTGCATATGCTGCTGATATCTTTGTGCCCACACCAAGGCTATATCAGGCTGAAAAGGTGAACCGCCCTCCGTTTCTTCTCAACTGCCTTGGCCTGAAACGGATGTTCATGTGTCCACATTGTGCATGCCCTGGCTGCTTGCTGACTTTGGCCTAACTTATTTTAGTTTAGATAGCTTGTTTGTTTTATTTCCTGTGGGGAAATCCTCCCTTGAGGGGCATGCCCAGTTCGGCAGGGTTTTAAACTGTGCCTCACCTGCAGAGAGTTCATCCTGGTCAGTGATGGGACATTCTGTGCATTCGCTGCCTGGGGGAGTCACATGTCGCACAGAAGTGCAACTTCTGTTTAGCCCTCAAATCCAGGGCACAAAAGAACCTGGAAAATCAAGCTGCGGCAGTTAATGATGGAGCACGCCCTTCACCCTGGTTTGGAACCAGGTCAGGAGAACCCAACTGTACACCAATCTCTGGGCATATCTAGTGCCCCTTCAACTTCAGCACAGCACTCTCCTTAAAAGAGAAAAGCCTCAGACCTTTTCTCAAGATCCCAAGAAGAGGCGCTCTAATTTGCCTCTTAAGGAATCCACTTCAAAAAGACCTCGCTCTCCAAGTTTGTCAACAGCCTCAGAGACTTCGACCTCAAGGCTTGGTACCGTAAAGGTGAAGGGCTCCTCCAGTACTGGCAAGGTGGGGAAAATCCCACAGATCTTCTAAGAGAAATCATGGCTCTGAGAAGGCTCCAGTACATTCAGATGGTCAGAGCAAACACAGAAGACTGGTACTGTCAGGCTCAATCCCTCTTCTGGTATCCCTGTTGGGCTGTTTGGTCATGTAAGGCTAAACCTCCAGCTATATCAGCAGCATCTGTGAAGCACTCAAAACCATCCTGCAGGGACACGGATATTGGTCTGTCAATATCTCAACCTCACTCGGTGCCACAACTCTGCTTGGTACCACAAGACGTTAGGTACCTGAAAAACTTATTGGTGACTGCTGAACCAGATGGACCATTGCTTGCAAATACCAAATGTGTCTCAATACTGAGAACCACTCAGTCTCCAAACTCTTATGCATCCCTGGTATCATCTAATTCACCTCCCTTTTTGGTTGGAGCTCCCCTCTTAGAGAAAGAAGAGGATGATGATGATGATGATGATGGAGACCTACCTTCAGTATCTTCAGTCTCTGTCCAGGGTTCTCCCACATACACATATAGGAACCCCACTTCTCAAAGCCAGGGAGGATGTCCAGGGAACTTGTCACTCTTGGTGGGATGCCACCTTCTCCCCCTATGGCCCTCAATGGCCATACTGGGATCCCTGGGCAGCTTATCACCAACAGTTCTCCAGGCCCCCAACCCTCTCCCATCAGGGTGATAAGGAGACTCAAGCTTCTCCTTTCCAGCTACAGGAGGAAACATTTGATGATCAGGAGGCTAGGGCAGACTACTATCTCCTCCTCATCACCAAATGAGGCATTACTGCCTCCTCCATCTATAGCTGACGATTTTCAGCAGGTTCTAGTCTTCATTAGACAGGTGGCCAACTTCTTACAGATACCTCTTGACAAAGTCAAAGAATCTCAGCACAAACTTGGATATTCTTCACTCCTGAGATCATCTAGAGTAGCCCTTCCTGACAACAAGGCTCTTATGGAATCTGCAAAAACCATTTGGCAAATCTCAGGCACAATAACACCTATATGTAATAGTTTAAAAAGTATTATGTTCCCACCGAAGACTCAGAGTTCCTATTTTCTCATCCTCCACCCAAATGTGTCTGGTAGTGGATGTAGTGAATGAATGGGGCAAACAACATTGATATAAATCCACCCCATACAACAGTGACCAGAAACACCTGGAATCTTACTCATCAGCAAACCTACAATTTCACATTGTGAATTATCAGGTGCTGATGGCCAAATATAACTTAACAAATTATGCAAGATGTGATTCTCTTATTCAACACCTTCCTCCAGAACAAAGGGAGCAATATCAGGCTTATATTGCTGAGGGGCAGTTACAGGCCAGAACATCACTTCAGGAGGTTTGGGCACCACCGCCTGTTCTATCACTATAGCAGTTGGTAATGCAAAGGGCATCCAGCCTCCAGTTGCCTAGTTTCTCCAGAGAAGTCCAGAATATGGTAGAGGATCTCCCATTTTGATGGACTAATGTTGTTCACAGAGAATACTGACGAGTCATTGCATAACCTTGGACTCCAGGTCCACATTACATTCATTAGCCCTCTATACTCCTGGAAACAAAAGGAAAATTCAGTAGATTGCAGATGGGTCGGATCTTTGGATCAATGTAATTCTCTGGTTTTCAGAGACCAATTGAACCTTCAAGAAAGAGACATAGGTTCCAGAGAAAGAGATTCTCCAAACCACCCGACACAAGTTTGCAGCAGACTTCATCTTCGAAGCACCAGTTTTGACCAGATAGTTGAGGATTCAGACCCTCTGCTCTCTTTAGCCTGTCAGCTGCAACGATTTGCACGCTTCTCCACATCTGGAGACCAAGTTTCCCATTTCTGACAAGCATAGGAACATACCACATCAGACAGATGGATGCTGAAAATAATAATATTGTGCTACACCATCCATTTTACCTCCCTCCCTCCTTCTAATCTCTCTCTCTCTCTCTATCTCAATCAGTCTTCAGGGACCCCTCTCATGAGTTCTTACTAAGATAGGAAATACACTTCTTTTTTCATATAGGAGCAATAGAGCTGGTCCCCACTCAGCACCAGGGAAGGGGCTTCTACTTGAGGTACTTTTTGCAAAATAAATAAATAAATAAAAATGGATGGGTGGAGACTAATCTTAGATATAAGACTCCTGAACAAATTTATGAGGTCTCAAAAGTTCAGGATGGTGACTCTAACAGCTATAATTCCTTCTCTAAATTCAGGGGATTAGTTTTCAGCTCTTTACCTTCAAGACACATACTTCCACATAGTGATACACACATCCCACAGAAGGTTCCTGCATTTTACCATAGCCCAGGATCATTTTTGGTACCGGATACTCCTATTTGGTCTCTCCTCAGCTCCAAGAGTTTTCAAAGGTTCTATCAGTAGTGGCTGCCTACCTGTGTCATCAGTAGGGCCCTACCAAATTCGCAGCAAATAGTCATCAAGCAACTGTAATATTCCTGTACCTCAATGATTGGCTGGTTAAGGGTTGGTCATAGCAGGAGGTGTTGACCACCAGACAGAAAGCACTTTCTCCATTCTTAAACTTGGGTCTTCAGTTGACTGGGAAAATCCACACTGATTCCTATACAGAATGTACAATTTATAGGGGAATCCCTAGATTTCTTGGCATCCAGAGCCTTTCTCCCTGTGGACAGATTCATGACACTATCAACCTTGTCAGAACTATTCAAGGTAGCCCCCAGAGTTGAATCAGAAGCTGTGTTCAACTTCTGTTACAAATGTGCAAGCCACCGTATGACCTAAACATGCTAGATGACATCTTTGCTGTTTCCAGGGATGGCTCAGATCAGTTTACTTGCCAAACAGTCACAACCTCGACAAGGAGTGTCAGTGTCTTAACAAGTGAAACACTCTCTAGACTGGTGGAAGGTTCATCGCAATGTAGGGTTGGGAGTTCTTTTCCTCCAACTGATGCCCACGATAACTATAACTACAGATACATCTCTGTTCGGATGGGGACCACATCTTGACACTCTAATGGTAAAGGGCAGATGGTTATCCCAAGAAACCACACTTCACATCAACCTGTTGGAGCTCAGAGCAGTCAGAAGTGCCTGCCTTCATTTTCTGCCTCTCATCAGACACTGGTCTATCAGACAATGTGGCCTGCCAGTTTTATATATATTGGCAGGGAGGAGCAAAATCCCCTTCCTCTGTACCAATGCAATAAGGTCATGGAACTGGTGTATAAACATTGCATAAGAATTTTGGCAATGTGTCTTCTGGGCAGGTAAAATGACACTGAGAGTGTCAGCTGTATTTTTTCCCAGATTACAAATGGAAGTTGGACTCCCAGATTCTTGCTGACATATTTTAGACTTGGGGATTTCCAGAAGTGGACCTCTTTGCCACAGCTACACACACAAAATGCCATCGCATCTGTCTGAGGTGGGGGAGAGTCAGGTTGCCATTCCTTGTGGGATCCCTTCCTCCTCACTCATATGAAAAAGCTGTTTATGTGTTTCCCCTGATGCCTCTAATTCTCTGAATAGTGAACAAAATCAGAAAGGAAAAGGGTGGGGTAGCATCATATATCAATCCAGCATCTTTGCCTTTTATTTCGATCACTCCTGAATAGTGCATACCTTTCAATACCTGTATTCCAGTCATGATTACTGTTCCTCCATGTTTCTGTTATCCCTATAATACCTAGTTTCAGTAGTTCTAGTTCCTCCATTTTGTTGCCCATGCTCCTCACATTAGTATACAAATATCTCAGTTGTTTCTGTCTGACCTCACACAATTTCCTAGCTGGATTAGGTATAGTCCTTTAGCTGCCCCTACTTCTGATGTTCCTTTATCCTTTACTATATCCTCATTTGCCTGATTTTCCTTTCCTATGTATTAAAACCAGGCATGTCAATTACACAAGTCTCTCCCAACTTTCTCCTCCCATTTCTTAATTTTAAGCTCTCCTCATCAGTTGTGCCAGCCTTGATTCCAGAAAGTTAGTACCTCAAGTAATCTGGTAAAGTCCATCCATTGAGAAGAATGCTCTGTCCATGAATGACTCCAATGAATAAACATCCCCAAACCTTCCTCATAATGCCAATACTTGAGCCTTCTGTTGATCTTCTTTGCCTTGTTGTTCCCTCAGCTTTCTTCTCTAGGTACTGGAAGAATTACACTGAAGATCAACTGAACCTTCACTTCTTTGAACATCTTCCCCAGCCTGGCATGGTCCATTAGGAATCTTTCCCCCTCACCCCTCCAACTGCCATCAGGATACTTTTCAGCCTCAGGTCCACATATCCTGGCAGACAGCTCTGGTGACAAGTATGTTGATCCTTCTTTGTAAGCAGTCCCCAGTCTCATCGACTTGCCTCTTCCTGATGTTGGTGTGAATTTCAGGTTCCCTCCCTTTTGTTGTTCCTTCCTTCTGTCTGCAGATCATTCTGTCTTCTGTTCTTTCTCACAGCCTCCTATATATAATTCTCATCCTTTCTAGACAGGAACCCAAGCCCTATCTTTATAGTAGTGATGGGTTGGGTCACAGAAACTCCGTCAAGACTGTCAGTAGATGTGCTGAGATACCACTGAGAACAAACCCCCCTGACAGAAAAGACTTCCCTCCACTCCTGTCTTGCTGAGCTAGACACACCAGTCAGCTCCAGCACAGACTAAGAGGTTGGGCCGCAGGGCTCCCCCGCAATACACAGAAACAAAGATTCACTTAGCCCACAGACTTTCCCAGCACCCAGTATTCAGTCTTTCTGGGAGCCTAAACCCTGAATAAATCCGTTTTCCTCTGTATAAAGCTTATGCAGGGTAAACTCATAAATTGTCCGCCCTCTATAACACTGACAGAGAGAGAGATGCACAGCTGTTTGCTCCCCCAGGTATTAATCACTTACTCTGGGTTAATTAATAAACAAAAGTGATTTTATTAAGTATAAAAAGTAGGATTTAAGTGGTTCTAAGTAATAACAGACAGAACAAAGTAAGTTACCAAGCAAAATAAAACAACACACACAAGTCTAAGCCTAATATAGCAGGAAACTGAACACAGGTAAATATCACCCTCAGAGAAGTTCCAATAAGCTTCTTTCCCAGACTATACTCCTTCCTAGTCTGGGCCCAATCATTTTCAGGCCAACGTTATGGTTTATGCCCTGGATCCAGCAATCACTCACACCCCCGTAGTTAGTCCTTTGTTCCAGTTTCTTTCAGGCATCTCTTTGGGGTGGAGAGGCATCTCTTGAGCCAGTTGAAGACAAAATGGAGGGGCTTCCAGGGCCTTTTATATTCTCTCCCTTATGGGCAGAAACCCCTTTGTTCTTTGGTGCAAAATCACAGCAATAAGATGGAGTTTGTAGCCACCTGGGCAAGTCACATGTCCATGAATGATCCAGCTTTTTGCAGGCTGACGCCATTGTTTACATGTTAGTTTGAACGTTCCCAGGAAAGCTTAGATGTGGATTGGCATTTCCCAAAGTCGATTGTTAGTTAAGTACTGCCAATTACTTGAACAGCCCCTTCACAATATATTGGCCAAACCTCCGTTATGTGTTTCCTACAGCAAATACCTCAAATACGAGCATAGAGCCAATGCTCATAACTTCAGATATAAAAAGATACATGCATACAAATAGGATGAATATATTCAGTAGATCATAACCTTTGCAAAGATATGTTACATGGCATATCTAGAATTCAGCATATTCCAGTTATGTAATATCCACACTTATAAACATATTTTAATAAAAATATGGAGTGCAACATCACAATAGTCTCTCGTGCTGGGATTGGCTTCCTTTCTCTTCTTCCTCACCACTACATCTTCTGCCTCCTTCTCCTCCTCATTCTCCAGTTCAGCAAACATATTCCTCAACTTTCTTCTCCTCTGCTTTTTCCTCATGATTGCATTCTTCCAATGGCCAACCTCCTCATTTAGCAGTCTGCCCTCTGGGTCCTCTTGTGCAAAAGATGTCTGCAAATCTTGAGTCTTTGCAACTTCCTATCTCCTCTCCTCCATGTCTTCAAACCCTCATTCAAACTCCATCATCCTCTCCAGCTGCATCCTCAGATCTTCTCTTCCATGAGCTCTACCAGGCAACATTTCATACATAAGTGGCTTCTCTTGGGTACCCACTCACAGATGATAATACATCAACACACGGTTCTACATCCAGTCATCTTTGTCTCCCCTCTTACTTGGATCACTTCTAGTGCTACCTCAGTAGCCCTCATAGTCTTCTCTTCGTAGTCCCTAGCCTTAAAGAAGAAAGGACAAAAATCCTCCAAACAAACTCACCTGTTTGTCGGGTACAAGCTGAAACTTAACACAAGAAGTCTTTTAGAAATGCCTACTATATACACAGCATATAGAACTTCATTATCCCTCAGGGTTACCTTTTGAGATCCGAGTCATTGGGGAAGCCTTGGCTGCATGGTCCAGGAATCCCCTGCAGTTAATGTAGGAACCCAAAGCTTTCATATACATGGCACTGTGCCTCTGGCATATTCTCCAGGAGTTGCCAATTTTGAGGATAGAATCCCCAGCCCTGTCTTGGGCAGAGGCCCAGACTGATCTTTAAGACACTATGTAAGTCTATTTTTTTTTTCTTCTGCCCTTTCAGCCAACTCATGTAGGTTTTTCCATGGGAGGAAGAAATCTGACTAATAAAGCTTTCACTTCCAAGCCATCTGGACGGCAATGTCCAGTAATTGTTGCCCTCATGTGACTGATTCTTGGCCTATGTGAAATGAATTATTGGCTTCATTCTAATTTAAAGCAAACATGGCCACGTCACAAACTGGTCCATCGCTGTCTAACTTAGCAGACAGCCCAAAAATTGATGTATGCGTGGGGGAAACTTGCACAGCTGCTACCAGCATTGTACCTGTTCTTGGGTCAAATTAGAGCTCTTCGCTCTTCTTGGTTGTCAATCTGGAACATTTAATGAATAATATGTTCATTCTTTATGTTCATAATAATTAATCAGCATGTGTGTTGTGAACTCTCCAAAATTTGTGGTACAGTCTGAAGCCACAAAGGATTTTTGGGTTCAGGACTAGTTTTAGGACTAACATCTAGACTGAGTGGAGGTGTTCTGGAATAATAAATACTATATAATAAGCACAGAAGTAGCTATCAGAACCCCGTTATGTTCAAGCACCGCTGTGAAAAAGAGGGTAGGAGGGCTTGACAGATTATAGTGTGGAAAAGAGGATTGCCCAGAGTGAGAGTTTGAAAAACTGAGACTATCAAGGCCAACCAAAAACTATGAATTTGCTTCGGTGAAGTGAGCATCCCTTGGTTAGGCTAATGCAATGGAACCACGCATGGGGGCTGAGAAAGAGCACCAGTATTTTTATAGGGCTGTGTGTATATATGTCTGATATAGTTCATTAGTTGTCTTTTAAATGGCCTAGTAAAATGCATAACTTCATTTACAAATATAATAATGTCTTAATGTATCAGAATACTGTAAGCATAAAGCAGGTTAGATTCTTATACCTAAATACTGGGCTAATTTCACTGTTTGAGTAAGTGGGTGTAACTCTATTGATTGCACTGGATTTGTGCCAGTATTTATATTGCAGTTAGAAAAGCTGTATAACTTTTTTGTATCTGACTGAATCTGATTTGAAACTGTACCTCATTAATTGTGTGTAACTTCTTTTTCTCCTTCCCAAACAGTGTTCATTGCATTTGCTGTGGTTATAACTGTGGTCTCCCTGGTGCTGATTTTTGTTGTGGCTCCAAGGAAAGGTCAGACAAATATACTGGTCTACATATCAATTTGTTCAGTGATTGGTGCCTTCTCTGTCTCATCTGTCAAGGGCCTCGGCATTGCCATTAAAGAAATACTGGAGCAAAAGCCAGTTTACCAACATCCGCTGGTTTATATTTTGGTGGGGACTTTAGTGCTCTCGGTCAGCACTCAGATCAACTATCTTAACAAAGCATTGGACATGTTTAATACATCTCTAGTGACACCTATTTATTATGTGTGTTTCACTACTACAGTTGTGACATGTTCCATTATCCTGTTTAAAGAATGGAATAGCATGGACTTGGGTGATATCATTGGCAGCCTCAGTGGATTCTTCACCATAATCATAGGCATTTTCCTTTTGCATGTTTTTAAAAATACTAATATCACCCTGAAGCAATTGACATCTACAGCTATAAAAGAACCCTCATTGCCTCTGCATGGATATGATGCTCATCATACTTTATTGGAGAACATGGAGAGCCCCACGCTGGCATATGAGGAGGACAATCCTTTGTTCAGTCGAGGAAATGCACAGGGAGCTATTTGCCATTAAAATTTTGACATGCAAACCAGATCCACCTACATCAATCAGAACTGTCTCTGCTTTTTTCCTGGGGGGGAAAAAAACTTTTATGAAGCGAGATAAATGTTGGCAACAACAGTGTGTGCTTGGAGAAATAGATAAGTCACTATGATGTTAGTTATTGAATGGAAAACTGTTGTATGTAATCAATGACACAAATAGAAATCTGCCATTGAGACTTTTTCATTGCCCATATCTCTGACAGTATATGACTTCCTCAGTCTCCTTATTGTGGTTTTGTCAATTGGAAGACTTTCTTTTTCAGCTGAAGAATTGCAATATGTGCAATATATATTGATAAAGTGCAATTTTCCTTCATGATATGGGGTAGTAAACACTTTATTAAGGTAACAGGCACTTTATAGGTATCTTAATAAAGGCATTACTAGAAGAATATGATGACCGTTTCAAAGATTGAAATGCAAATATATTGTCACGGTTAATGCATATATAACATTCAACTTTGAAGCCTATCAATTAGCAGATGTCCTGAAGGACACACAGCCTTCCCCCATTAACAGTTCTATATTAAAACTTAATTTGTTTAAATGAGAACTTCATTTGTGAGCGTTGAGCCCAGTTCAGATACTTTGAAACATAAACACCATACTTTTGTAGCAGTTTTCTTGTATCTAGTCTCTTCGAGCTTTTTCTTTTTTCCTTTGTTAGTTCCTGTTTTTTGATGTTAAAGTCCAGTTCTTCTAACTGAGTCTGGATTTTTTTCCTATATAAAAGCTATACATGGAGCTTTTAACAATTTCTAATGCACTGTAGTGTTGACTGTATATTAAGCAAAGAGAATACCATAATTTACCTTTACTGTACTGAGTGATCAAGGAGCATCAAATCATTGCATTAAGTGATTTGTCTAGCCCTTATTTTCTCCAACTACTTAGTATTTGCCTCACAAATGTGTCAACTTCTTTTAAAATTATGTCTTGATGGCTTATCACCTGTGTTGCAAGAACCTCTAGGTCACAGTGTTGGCCATGAAACCTATAAGACAGCTGATCTATGCACAGATGATATTTTATTGCATAATTTCTATTTAATTTGACACCTCTTTCCCTGCCATATTGTGAGCCAGAAAGTGACTTCAGCTATCAAATGTGTAGGTCCAGTAGACTTGGATGGTCAAGTTCTATAGTGTCTCCTCAGCACAGCATCACCACACAGCGTGGCTCCCTTACTGAATTCCAAGCCTCTTCAGCAAGAGGTGATTTTAGGATTTAATCAATTCACTTTCCTTGATCAAAAGTGATGTGTAAAACATGAGATGGGGGATTTTCAGTGTGTAACAAAGAAACACAAACAAATCTTTTGCAATTTAGAAAATGAAATGTTGCTCATTCTACTTTTACAAAGTAAGCCTGTGCTGTGAAGTTCATTTTAGTTTAGATGCATAAGAAAGTTTCTTTAACTTTGAAGAGTTCCTGACAAGAGGAAAATGGACTGCCATGTTTCACAAGTATTTGTATATCTGCATAACTTATAAGGTTGTGTATTTTATTTAATTTTTGGGAGGTATTCTTAATGTGTCTTATTTGCTAGTGATGATTGTTTCCCCTTATTATTTGGAAACCACCAAAAACCAGACTGATAATAGTGTTCAGAACACTAGTGTAAAACCATTTTAATCCCAAGTTTTAAACTAAATATACCTTTTTTAGCTTGGCTATGGGGGTAGTTGGAACACATTGACACAGACTATCAGTTATAGCAATCATTTGCAGATTGCCTTTAAATCACCCTCCTGTGAAATACTAGTTTGACTGAAGTGGTTTGTCTAGCTGTAATCCTCAGTAAGGTAAATACGGTATTACAGGGAAATGTTGCTATCATCAGATCCTTTCTTCACTCAGAGTTCAGGAGCATAGCCTATTACAACTTCTTTTGAGAAGCATGTGGAATATTGCTGGAATAGTTGCAGCAATGTTGCATGCAACAGGAAGAGACTTACAAAAATTCTTCTCACTTTTTAAATACGAGCGTTCATATAGCTTTAGATGTTCTTCAGACATTCCAAATGAGCAATACAGGGGATGTACAGAGACTATTTGGGGTTTTATTAGTCAGGTGTGTTAGATCAAACTGTTCAGCCCAAAAAGTGGGTAATACGTTACTGTAAATTTACACCATTAACTTTAGAGAGTTTGGCCTTTTAATAAAAACTTGCATTGCTTCTCAGTGGAAATTAATTATGCTGGTTACAGTGTAACGTTTAGAACAAAGTTTGTATTTTTTTTAAAAGGAAGTCTATTGGCATATGGCTTGCCTATGTTTTCATGTATAACTATCATAGTTGTATGCACAAATGGTTATTTGCATGAACAAATGCCCAGTTAGACATGTTTGTATATGTATTACTATTTTTTAAATGAACTCCTACTTGTACATTTTTGCATATGCACATGGGCTACCTATTTTTAAACCTGGCTCTGACAAAATCTGCGTGGTGGTAATAAGTATGAAATAAGTCTTTCCTGATGAACCTGGTTAGTTTGTAATCATACAAAGTTAACTTCCATAAAGAAAAATGGATGTAAAACTTGTTTTTCCTAAAGTATCAAAACCCCATAGTTAATGCTTATTTTCATTATGTCCAAGAACACTAGAATGTCAATAAAGGAAATAATTGTTTTTATTATGAGATTTGATTCTTAAAATACTTTTGAATGAATTACTTAACTAAAAGAGATTTTATATTTTGTTGGAAAGGTTTATATTTAGTGATTGCTTCCCTTGAAGGGTTTTAAAGTTTTAATTTGAGTATAAAGATATTCCACTGTTTTGTCTTGTAATAAAAAGTATATATTAATTATGTGCTAGATCATATTTTCTTTAAGAGAAAATGCAGTAAATAGGTTAAATGCTATAGTAAAATCAAACATATCTGTTTAATCTGAACAGAACTGTATTATCTCTGTGGTATCCAATCATGTGTATCATTTATATACATGCCCATCTAAATGAAGGAGATTGTTAGGCTGAGTTCAGTGTAGATAATGGCCTGATCATGAACTCACCTGTATCAATTTTGCAGCAGTGTTAACTGCATTGACTTAAGGGGAGTCAGTCTGCATTTAGACCAGAATGGCTGAAATCAGAATCTAGCCTATAAGCTTTAATCAGTACAATTACCCTATTATAACTTATTCATTATTATAATTCTATTTTTGAATACCCAAAGATGTGCAAGGCATCTTCCAAGACAGATTAAATACAGGTCCCTCCAGACAAAAATGGCACAAGGAGAGGAAAAAGAGGGTGACAGTAACAAGTTCATATAGTTTTGCAGCAAGGCACATGTATAGCTTAGTAGGTTTGTGTTTTGTTTTTTGTTTTGTTTTTTTTAAAGGGAACTTTCTTCTTGTTTCTCATAGACAAGATGGCAAAAGTAAGATTTTTTGGGGGGAACCATTTGTATGTGGTAAGGGAGGTTGGTATATAGGTGTAGGGATGAGAACAGTTCCAAGTTTTAAGGGAGCAGCATGCTATAAGGGGTGGAGAGAAAACGCCAAAGAAGGTAGTGAAGTTGCTTTCAGCACCAGCGCAGACTGAGAGAGTTAGAAAATGAGACCAGGTCTGAGAAATGCTGTGGATAAGGTCGGGGTTTACTGTGGACTTTGCACAGCAGAAGACCAACAGTTGAAAGAGATTGAATGATACAGAAGATGATGGACCAAAACAGGATAGAAACAGGGCCAGATCACACCCCCAAACATCCACACATAGAGAGTTACCTCCTCCTGTGTGTGGAGGTGGGGACTCAGTTGCTTCCTTGGCACTGTATTCAGTCTGTACATACGCTCCATTCTGTGGAGTCCTCTCTTGGTCTGCAGTAAAAATAAAATGGAAATTCATGAGGTGGTAGCAATTACCATCCATTCCCTAACTCTGCAACTTTCTTGCTGCAATGGCAGCAAGGGAATGGAATCTCTGCTCTTGGTACTACAAGATAGGCAAATAATACTACAAAAAGGACTGTATTCACAGAAGATGGCCTCAAATTTTCTTTTTAGTAACTTGACTGTATTGTTGAGATGGTGAAGAAGGTCAAATATGCTCTGCAAGGAAAGCAAGCCAGCTGTTAGACTGATACTTATATTTAGCAAGATAATGCTATAAAATTCTATAATGCTATAGAGATAATTGGGGGGTGGCATGAGTGGGAAAGAGAAAAACAAACCACGTCTAAAAAGCATGTTGGCTAATGACCTGAGGAGGTACAATGCCTTTAACTAAGCAGCAAATCTCAAAAGATCCCTGTTAGGTCAGGGTAATTTTGTTGAAGTTATTTTATCATTTGCATGGAAAACATCTGAAAACTTAGCTGAGCAAAACACTGGAAATGCACCATGGGAACAACCCAACATTAGCAGGATATGGACTAGTGAGATGATCTTATAAGTTGTTCCCACCTCTGGCTTCTGTGATTCTTCTTTCCTGAGTTTTAAGTTGTTTTTCCTCAAATACCTAATACAATAAACACAAGAATGCTATTTATAAAGTAACATGAAGTGTTTTTGAGGAGTGGGGGATAGTTAAAGAGTTCAAAAGATGATATCTTGGTTTGTGTCAGAATTTGAAAGAAGTCAGATATCACCTGGCTGTAAGCTAATCTATATACAAGGTATTCATAGGGTAATACAGTGTCAGGGTGCCAAATGCCAATTAACTAGTAAATTATATATCCAGCTAGTGAATGATAGTGCAGACTTTGTTATTATTGACATAAAATTTGTTAGCTAAGTACAACATATTTCATGATAAACATATCCGGTAAAATTTTCAAAAACACCTAACTGGCATAGGGTCCTAAGTTTGGCTCCTAGGTCAGTTAGGCACTCTTGAAATTTTTATACATTATGGTTTAGTGCATTGTGTTGGGATTTGCAGTAACTAATGTTTAAAGGATCTAAAGCTACAAGGAGAATATATCCGTATATTGATTATAGACTTTTTGAGGGAGCTCAGATATGTCAGACAGCAGTGAGTGAGTAGAAATTGATTAGATCCATGTAAATCAAAATGATAAAATATAACAAAAAAGAGGGAAAATCAAATTTTAACATAAATTCTTAGTAATATTAGGCGCTCCCTATGTCCCATATGCTAAAGTTAACAATAAGTAATTTAATCATCTGAGGCATGCTGTCTAATAGTAAGCTGTATCTGCCTTGTCAGAAAATAATGTCTAATGATTCTGATTTTTGTCACATAGATTCAATTTACTCTCTAAAATACTTTTCACTTGTTACCAGGCAACTATGAAAATCCTGTACATATGAATATTAGATATTTACAGCTGAGATATTTTTCAATAGTAACTTTAAATGTGCTTTTTTCCCAGCAAAGCCAATATAAAATTTACATCCAAAATATTGGTAGGCCTCCTATGTCCTCCTACGAGCCCTTTACTCATACTGTGAGTAATGCTAAATGGTTGAGTGTTCTCATTTTGTAATTAGGCATTCTGTACATCGAAAAAATGAGATCTTTATTCACCCACACAACAGGGCTAGCAATACAGACTTTAGTCTTCTGTTTTCCAAGAGCACCATAGAGCTGATCTTTCTGTTAGTACCTGTTAGTAAATAGTAATATCTTTCTTTCTTTCTGTATATTTGATTCATTTATATGTATTAATTATTCTTTAGAATCTTTATCTTCAACAAAGACTATGTCTGAAGTCTAAGGCCCAAAACACGGGTCTTGACCAATGTGTAATCCTTTTCAGGAATTTTTCATTATGCTGTATTTAATAACTCTAGGGCACCTTTATGTCTATAAAACTCTAGATATTCTTGGAAACCATCTCCTTAATGTATATATAAAATGCTAACATTAGCATATATAGACTAGGGAAACTAATAAGAGATTATTGTTATAGCAGATGTTTTCTGTTGGGGAAGTCAACATGGAAGAATGATTGTGGGGTAGACTCAGAGATATTAACCTGAAGAATTGTTAGTCCTCTGAGCTGTAAATAATCATGCCTTCTCACATGAGTCAGGTAAACTGAGACTGTATAGAAATGTCATCACAACACATGTTTCTGGGAGAATATTCTTGGCAACTAGGTTTCCTTTGTCTGAAACCCTATATAAAGATAATGATATGAAAACTTAGGTTTGGGGAAATGAAAACTGCATGTCCCTTTCAGATGCAGGTCAGACACACATCCAGTTCTTAGTCTGACAACAAAGGGTGGTAATGTATCTATGTCTGTGTTCTGTATAGTGCTGTACTAATCTCTGATTAATAATCTTAGATTAAATAATTTCATTTGAGCCTGTTATTTTGACAACCTCGAGTCATTAACTCAGACACGCAACACCTTCAAAGATGGTCAATAGGAGTTGAGGTCACTCAGCACCTTCTAGGATCAGGGCAATATATATTCACTCTAAAAAGAGAGGATAAAAAACTTGATCTCTCCTTCACCTGCCTATTATTTTTAAATTTAAAGTTCACTAAGTATATGTTCTACAGTTTTTTATAAATCTTACCATAAAACTTGCTGATAAAACAGTTGGATATTGCTTTTGTATATTATCCACGGCACTTTAATTACACTTTTTGTAGTACAAGGACAAGGAAAAAGCATTTCTTCTGCTTAAGTTTACTCGATACAGAATATTGAGAATGATGAATCAGATTCATCAGCCTGCTTCACTAAATATGCAATGAAGTATTATGATTCAGAATGAGTCAACAACTTACTTTTTATTAGTACATACTGTAAAACTTCCTTCACTAAGTTATCATTCCATCATGCCAGGCTGGCTACTGCCTTTTATATTGTTACAATAACATTCACCAGCACAAGGACACACAGATGACATGGTGATGTGGACCATGTAAGGACAGGATAAGTATGGTTCCACTGACACACAGAATGAACACTGGTTAAATAACCACAAACAAAAGGTAAATGGCATTGTAGCGTGTTTGTGGGACGCATCTAGTGGGGGGCTGCAGTGATCACTATTCAGTTAGAGGGAGAGGAGAGGCACATGCTAATCAAACTTGCAGATTATACTGAATGGAAGTTACTGCAAACATTATATACACAGACCACGTTGGTCCCGTCCCCCCCCTCCCCGAATTTGTCCTGAAAACTATGTGGTAAGCAACGTATGTGGGATGATTACAGACAAGTAACAAGGCAAGGTCCCTGACCCAAAGATCTTACAATCTAAATCAAATGAATAATTGACAGACAATGAGGAGGAGAGAGACAACAGAAAACCAAGAGAGAAGGAAAACCTGCTTTTGTTGGTAACGTTGTTTAATGTAGAGCTGGGTTTTCAAGCTTTTCTTCTTACAGATAAATTGTGGATGAACATAACATAAGACAGGTTTCAGAGTAACAGGGGGGTGGAGGGTGAGAAAACCTGCATTTGTGCTGGAAATGGCCCAACTTGATGATCACTTTAGATAAGCTATTACCAGCAGGACAGTGGGGTGGGAGGGGGTATTGTTTCATGATCTCCGTGTGTATATAATATCTGCTGCAGTTTCCACGGTATGCATCCGATGAAGTGAGCTGTAGCTCACGAAAGCTCATGCTCAAATAAATTGGTTAGTCTCTAAGGTGCCACAAGTACTCCTTTTCTTGATAACATAAGAATGGCCATACTGGGTCAGACCAGAAGTCCATCTAACCCAGTATCCTGTCTTCTGACAGTGGCCAAAGCCAGGTGCCTCAGAGGGAATGAACAGAACAGATAATCAAGTGATCCATCTCCTGTCGCCCACTCCCAGCTTCTAGCAAAGAGAGGCTAGGGACACCATGGTTGCTTTGCAATTTCCCTCCCTCTTTGATATACTCATGGGTAAGAGAAGAAGTGGAATGTTGTAACATAAGTAATGATCAGAAGCTGAAAGAAATTAGTTGGAAGGGAGAGAGAGGATGGCACTTTACCAAAAGGAGGGGTTTAGTCTATTCCAAGCATAGAGTGCAATATGAAAAAGGCACGAAGTCATGAGCACAGGCAGGATATTAATGGAGCAGACTGGTGAGAGGGGCAGATGAAGCATACAACACAAGAGTGAGGATAGAAGGATCCAAGATCTGATGTGTAGGCTGAAGTGGAGCTGTGTGAAGCCTTGACAATAATGAGCTTGAATTTAATATGGAAGAAGTCAGGAAAGCGACTCCTAGAAAGGAATGACATGGTCTGAACAGAGAGAGAGAGAGAGAAACAGATGTCCAGTGAAGACCAGAATAATACCTAATATCCTGGGAAAAGTTTAGAAACATAGGTAGGCAATGACAAAAAGATTCCATCTGGGAAAATGCTTTGTGTGTGTATCTGCTCTCTTTCATGACAAAAATAACGCTACTTTCTCTGAGTGATTGTTGCTAGGTATTTGAAGATGTTCAATAGTTTGAAATCTTAGAACATGTGATGTGAGAGCCTGATTAGTAGGTAGAGTCCAGGTGAGGCAGTCAAAGATGTATTATCTATGCAGATTGAGTCTGTGCATCATTCATTATATCCAGATCAGAATTTCAACTCTGTGATTTGCTAATGGTTGTGAAATTAATCTCTCTAATAACAACAAAAAGAATAATTGTATTAGTTTGGGCTCTATATGAAACTGAAAAAAATCCCTCTGAAGGGTCAGATTCTTCAAAATTTATTTCCTTGGCCTTAAGGACTCATGAGTGACCTTGAAATCTTGGGGTCAGAAAGCACTGTCAGCCTCAGCAGATACATTGTGATCCCACTTTGCCCTGCTCATCAGGACCTGTCAAAAAAGAAGAGCAGGGGTTTTAGGTGCAGGCTCATCCATCCTTCTGTATCTGCTCCAGCTCCTAGGCTTTCTAGACACACAGGAAGTGCTAAGCAATCATTTTGATGGGTCGGTCAAGGACACCATGCCAGTCTCCATGCTTCCAAACCCTATCTCCTCCATATTTGCAAAACAGTTTTGCCCACTTCCACAGTGTATGTTTCCAAATTACTTCAGACCCATGGGTCTTGAGCACTGTGGAGGTGGGCTATATCCTCCAATTTGTTTCTACTCCTCACTCCTACCCTTCCTCCCTGCCCCTCCAGAGACCACTCTCATGAGGAGCTCCTTCTCCAGGAGGTACAATCTTTCCTTCAGGCAGGTGCCATAGAGGAGGTTCCACAGTGTCATAGAGGGACAGGGTTTTATTCCTGCTATTTCCTAATCTTGAAAGCAAAAGGGGGTCTGAGACCAATTTTAGACCTGAGTCAACTCAACAAATTCTTAAAAGAGAGAGGTTTGCATGGTCACCCTAGCTTCTATTATCCCCTTTCTGGAGACTAGGAGCTGCCATTGACTTCAAAGATGCTCACAGGAAGTACCTCAGATTTCTGGTAAATTAAAATCATTATCAGTTCACCATGCTACTATTTGGCCTGTCAGCAGCTCTCAGAAGTTTTATGAAAGTTAGTGGTAGCTGCCTTCCTCAGAAGATCAGGAGAACAAGTTTACCTCTACTTGGATGACTTGTGAGGGACCAATTCAGGGTGCAGGTGTTGTTCATTGTATCTCCGATCCAATCAACATTCATTGTTCTGGGACTGCTAATCAATGCAGAGAAACCTCTCCTCCCCCGTGAGCAAAGAATAGAGTTTATAGGGGGCTGTAACAAACTCGATTAAAGTCAGAACTTTTCTTCCAGACTCAAGGTTTCAGGCAATTCAATCAATTGTTATAGCTCTCAAAGCTTATCCAGTCATGACAGCATGAAACTGTTTGAGGGTCCTGAGGCATATGGCCTTGTGCACACATATGCTTCAATATGCCAGTCTGCACCTCAGAATGCTACAGGATTGGCTAGCCTCAGTTTACTCACCAAACCATCACCATCTAGTTCAGTGGTGAGGGTGCTCTCTCATGTCCTGCCTCCCTAGATGGCTGGGCAAGTGGCCATCAATGTATGCATCGGTGTTCCCTTTGCCTGCCCACAACCAATGCTCACTTTAGTGACTGACACTTCTGCCCTGGGCTGGGGGCCCATCTGAGTTCTCTACAGACTCAGGGACTATGGTCTGCAGAGGACTTAGTTTAACAAATCTACATCAGGGAGCTGAACGCTGTGAGGTTGGCATGCCAGGTATTTCTGCCGCAGATCAAGGGAAGCAGCCTGTTAGTCCTCACAGACAACAGAGTGGCAATGTTGTACTTCAACAAGCAGGGAGGAGCCCACCCTGCTTTGCTCTGTCAAGAGGCATCTCTGTTTTGTGTATTCTGCATTGCCAGCTCAATAGATCTAGAAGCTTCTTACATATTGCTGTTCCAAAACAATCTTGCAGACTACCTGAGCAGATCATTTATGAGTCACCACAAGTGGTCTTTTTGCTTGGATGTGGCTAGATTCACCTTCAAATGGTGGGAGTCTCCCCAGGTAGACTACCTGCAACAAGGATCAACAGAAAGTGTCAGCAGTTCTGTTCTCTACGTGGTCACAGCCCAGGTTCCTTGACAGATGCATTCTTATTACCATGGTCAGACAGGCTCCTCTATGCTTTCCCACCAATTCCACTCATTCACAAGGTATTACTGAAGATAAGAGGAGACCAGGCCAGAGTCATACTCATAGCCCCAGTGTGGGCCTGTCAACACTGGTTTGCCACTCTCCTGGCATGGTCTGTGAAACCTCCAATTTCACTTTTACTGGGCTCGGACCTAATGTCCCAAAATCATGGTTGTCTATTCCACCCAAGCCTGCACACTCTTCATTTAATGTATGGATGCTCCATGGCTAGACGTTAGGGAGCAGTCTTGCTCAAAAGAGATTCAAGAAGTTCTGCTAAATAGTAGAAAGCTAGTAGGGTTACTTATCTCTTTAAGTGGAGACGTTTTTCCATCTGGTCATGCCATTCTGGAATCTCACTGTCCTGTTCTTCAATTCAGCCCATACTAAATTACTTATAGTATCTGAAACATCAAGGATTGACTGTTAATTCTATCAAGATACAGCTATCAGCTATTTCAGCTATCCTTCAGAAGGATAATCACTCTGTTTTTTTCTAACAACAGGTTTTTTGAAAGGCTTAGTCAAATTGTATCATTAGGTGCTTGACCCTGTTCTCCCGTGAGACCTAAACTTAGCGTTGTCAAGCTTATGGGTCCCCCCGTTTGAGCCTTTGGCTACTTGCTGTCTGCTACATCTATCAATGAAGGTGGCATTTTTGGTTCCCAGCTTTCTGATAGAGGTAATGGCAAAGCTGCACATGTTAATGTCTAGGCCTCCCTATACTATCTTCTTTAAGGAAAAAGTTTACCTGCACCCTCAGCTGAGGCTTATCCCGAAGGCAGTGTCCTCTTTCCATATCAACCAGCCAATTTACTCACCTGTATTCTTCCCAAAACCACACTTGATCTGGGAAGAGGAACATTTGCACACTCTGGACGTCATAAGAGCACTGGTGTTCTACCTTGACAGAAGCAATTCCATAAGTCCTCTCAACTCTTTGTGGCAGTTGCAAATAGAATGAAAAGACAATCAGTCTCTACTCAGATAATTTCTTCTTGGATAGTTTCATGTATATGCATGTCCTATGACCTGGCTAATGTCATGCCGCCGAGCAGAGTTGCAATTCATTTGATGAGCTCGCAGTCAGCCTCTGTGCCTTTTCTGGCAAATGTTCCAATTCTGGCCATTTGTAGAATGGTAGCTTGGTCCTCTGTCCACATGTTTGCTTCTCATTAAGCTGTCACTCAGGACTCAAGAGACAATGCTGGAGTTGAATGAATTGAGCTCCTGACTTTATTTAGATAGACTCTGATCCCACCTCCTGATTCATGGCTTGTAAGTCACCAGGAGTGGACTGCACATGTGCAACCACTCAAAGAAGATAAACAGTTACTGAACTGTTCCATAATTGTTATTTTTTGAGATGTGTTGTGCATTTCTATTTCATGACTCATCCTGCTGTCCTCCGCACTGGAGTTCTGGCAAGAAGGAACTGAAGGGGGCTGGGGGTAGCTTTATCCTTTTTACCAGCACACAGTGGCGTGTGGCCACAGAGGGCACTCGAGGCACCCAATGGGTACCACTGAGGGTAAAAGGTTTCCAACAACTGTGTGCTAGGAACTGTGATACAGGAGGGCCAGGGAGCAGTGGTAGAGGGGAAATATATAAGCCCTAGGCTAATTAAGGCATGGTTCCCTGTAGACTAGGGAGGGTGGCTATGGGTTAATTGAAGCACCTGTAGTCAATTAAGGACCTGTCAGGAACCTAATAAAACCCACTGCTTCAGGGAAGAAGAAGAAGACTAGAACTTGGAGGTGTGTTTTGAAAAATCAGAGAACCGGAAAAACCAGGGAGACCCTGTCCCAGCAGGGAAGGGAGACTCCCTTCCTCAGTGTCTAAGGACTGAAGGTACCCCACCCAAGGGGGAAGAGGGTAAGAACCCACAGAGGCTGGGGCTCAGAGTGAGGAGCAAACCCAGAACCCTCCCCTACTTCCCTCCTCTACCACCTTCCCGGGCCACTAGCGGGGCCCTTGGTGCCCCAAAGAGCAGGGGGAAAGGGGTGGCATCTTAGCCCCTGCCAAGAAAAGCACAGGACCGACCATACTAGCACTGGCTATCTTGTCACAGAACACAGACAGCAAGAGTGGAATGGACAAGAACAAATGGATACCAGTAAATTTAGGTTTGAAATTAAATGGTGGTTTCTAACCATCAGAGGAATGAAGCTCTAGAACAGCCTTCGAAGGGGAGTTGTGGGGGCAAAAACCCTAATATGTTTTAAAACTGAGCTTGATAATTTTATTGGAGGGGATGGTGCGATGAGACTGCCTACAATGGCATATGGCCCATCCATGACAGCTATTAGCAAATATCTCCAATGGCCAGAGATGGGACACTAGATGGATAAGGCTCCAAGTTACTACAGAGAATTATTTTCTAGGTATCTGGCTGGGGGGTCTCACCCACATGCTCAGAGTCTAACTGATCACCATGTTTAGAGGCAGGAAGGATTGCAGATTGGTAGAGACACCGGAACTTTTTCACCTTCTTCTGTAACATGGAACCCATGTCACTTGCTAGTTTGCACTGGAGAAAATGGTGGATTCTCTGTAACTTGAAGTCTTTAAATTAAGATTTGAGGGCTTGAGTAACTTAGCTAGAGGTTATGGGCCTACTGCAGGAGTGGTTGAGTAGATTCTGTGGCCTGCAATGTGTAGGATATCAGACTAAATGATCATGGTAGTCCCTTGTGGCCTTAAAGTCTACGAGTCTATGCACAACACTTCTTTAAGAACAACAGTTATGGAACAGGTTACTAACAGGTTTTTTCCTAGCCTGTTGCTATTACCCTATCACTCCTCTCTTTGAATCCTTCCACTGGCTCCCCCTTCTCTAGTGCATCATACATAAGCTGCTTGTATTTAGCTTCAAGTTCCTTCACAGTCAATTCCCATGCTATCTATCCTCTCTCATTTGCTATCAGGCTGCCAGTGCTTGCCTCTGATTGGGCCATAATGCCAGTCTCTACTGCCCCCTTGTTAAATTTTCAAACAAGCACCTCAGTGCTTTATCCCAGGCTGCCTCACACTCTTGTAAACATCCAAAAAACTACCTCATTATCCACCTTCAAATCCCTCCTCAAAACTCTCCTTTGGTGTGACACATACAAATACAAACTTGACAACAGTTAGGTTGCTGGTATGCTAAGATCACAGCTCATCATTCTGACTAGTATTGTCTCATTGTTTCCTTGTACTCCCCCATATGTCTATATCCAACTTTTGTCTCTTGTCTTATTCTTAGATTGTAAATCCCTTGGGACAGGGAAGGTTGTTTTGTTCTGTTTGTACAGCGCCTAACACAGTTGGTTCCTGATCAATGACTAAGGCTCCTAGGCAGTATGGTAATAAAAATAATAAATAATTATAATACTTGGTCCAAAGCACATTTTTATATAACTATGTTGAACTGTAACTGAGTTTAAGAAAATTGTTGTTTTGTAGATAGAGGAGGCAAAGCTCCCTTGAGTTCCATTATAATCTTCTTTATTACCACCTCACCTTAATGTACATACTCCTTATGGCTAAGAGGACCTTACCACAAGAAACCCAAGATAACAGTAGTATATCATTGGAAGAGAGTAGCTGTAACTAATAGATTGGTAAAGTTCAGCATCAGGGCAAACACTGTAGAATTAGAAAAGGAGTACTTGTGGCACTTTAGAGACTAACCAATTTATTTGAGCATGAGCTTTCGTGAGCTACAGCTCACTTCATCAGATGCATACCGTGGAAACTGCAGCAGACTTTATATATACACAGAGAATATGAAACAATACCTCCTCCCACCCCACTGTCCTGCTGGTAATAGCTTATCTAAAGTGATCAACAGGTGGGCCATTTCCAGCACAAATCCAGGTTTTCTCACCCTCCACCCCCCCCACACAAATTCACTCTCCTGCTGGTGCTAGCCCATCCAAAGTGACAACTCTTTACATAATCAAGTCGGGCTATTTCCTGCATAGATCCAGGTTTTCTCACATCCCCCCCACCCCCATACACACACAAACTCACTCTCCTGCTGGTAATAGCTCATCTAAACTGACCACTCTCCAAGTTTAAATCCAAGTTAAACCAGAACATCTGGGGGGGGGGGGGGGGGGAGTAGGAAAAAACAAGAGGAAACAGGCTACCTTGCATAATGACTTAGCCACTCCCAGTCTCTATTTAAGCCTAAATTAATAGTATCCAATTTGCAAATGAATTCCAATTCAGCAGTTTCTCGCTGGAGTCTGGATTTGAAGTTTTTTTGTTTTAAGATAGCGACCTTCATGTCTGTGATTGCGTGACCAGAGAGATTGAAGTGTTCTCCGACTGGTTTATGAATGTTATAATTCTTGACATCTGATTTGTGTCCATTTATTCTTTTACGTAGAGACTGTCCAGTTTGACCAATGTACATGGCAGAGGGGCATTGCTGGCACATGATGGCATATATCACATTGGTGGATGTGCAGGTGAACGAGCCTCTGATAGTGTGGCTGATGTTATTAGGCCCTGTGATGGTGTCCCCTGAATAGATATGTGGGCACAATTGGCAACGGGCTTTGTTGCAAGGATAAGTTCCTGGGTTAGTGGTTCTGTTGTGTGGTATGTGGTTGTTGATGAGTATTTGCTTCAGGTTGCGGGGCTGTCTGTAGGCAAGGACTGGCCTGTCTCCCAAGACTTGTGGGAGTGTTGGGTCATCCTTTAGGATAGGTTGTAGATCCTTAATAATGCGTTGGAGGGGTTTTAGTTGGGGGCTGAAGGTGACCGCTAGTGGCGTTCTGTTCTTTTTGCGAATACAGACTAACACGGCTGTTCCTCTGAAACTGTAGAATTATGATTTCTTAGCTTGTAGTGCACCCATGAATAAGCCATGGGTGATCAGCTTGTCCCATGAGTCATCCTGTATGTCTCCATTCCATGAGTAATTTTTGTGTCTGGACACAGGGCGTCAGAACAAGGGGGACCAGAGGGGGCCATGCCCCCCCCCTTTTTATTTGCCGTAAGGGTGAGCGACGGGGGGGAAAGGGTGGAGAGGAGTGAGCAGGGGACGGGGTCATGGGGAGAAGAGCTGGCGTGGGAGCAGGGGCCTAGGGGGAAGAGGCAGTGCGGGAGCAGGGGCCTAGGGGGAAGGGGCAGCATGAGGGCAAGGCCTCAGGGGAAAGGGATGGTGTGAGGGCGGGGCCTTGGGGAAAAGGGGTGGTGCAGGGGACGAGTCCATGGTTTGGGCGCCCAGGGCCCCCCCACTTTTAGAGAGCTTCTGCTGCTCCTGTCTGGACATTTTTATTCTCCCTCACCCCCCCATGTCTTATCTTTTCTTCAACTGCTGCCCTATTAAAATCTGAAATCATTGTTAAGTGAAGGCATTGACAACAGAAGTAAGGACACACTACGTATTTTAAGGGTATGTGTTGATCAGGTTGTGGTTAGGTCAGGGTTGGCTAATCCCAATTTAAAATCAACCTCTCTTCCAAATCTACAGTGAGTAGAGAGTGGGGAGGATGCATAGGCATACTATGTTTTTTCTGTATATTGTCTTATTTAGAATCAGAATTCAGAAGAATTCACTGAAAACTTGGTTTCATATTGGAATCTAAAAGAATGTTGAAGAAATTGTGCCATTTCTACGGAAATCAAAATGATTCATTCCCCTATGAAGCAATAATCATCCATGTATTTATTTCAAGTCTATATTTACTGCATGTTCTGTGTAAATGACAACCTGGATGAATAAGTCATTTTCCACCTCCCCCAGTAGAGCTTTTACTATCGAATTAAGTTGCTGTTGTGTGATATCACCAAAGGCAGGTCTTGGATGTTTAAACATCTGCATCTCTCACAGTAACTAGAGTTCCATTCCAGCCTTTCAGACAGGGTAGGAGATCTTATTTCAAAGAAAAAGGGGAAAACACGTTTCTGATAAATATAGAGCCGACTGAATTTTCTTTCCTTTAAGACATCTCAGTATAACTAGAAATCGTCAGCCCAGGAGGAAAAGGCGGACATTTACAACAAGGACATTTCAAAGGTATGAGAGAATATATATGTTTTTCATTTTAACTTTTTTCCATCCTGCTTTTTCTTGATCCTTACTGGCTGATCAGTGATTTTGCTTCCCAGGTTGCTCTGAAACCATGAACCATAAGAGAAATTAAATTGCTAAATAATTTACCTTAATGAAGCATATAGAAAAGATATTCTGTCAGAGTATAAAGAAAAGGAGTACTTGTGGCACCTTAGAGACTAACAAATTTATTTGAGCATAAGCTTTCGTGAGCTACAGCTCACTTCATCGGATGCATCAAATATATGTTTATGCTCAAATAAATTTTTTAGTCTCTAAGGTGCCACAAGTACTCCTTTTTCTTTTTGCGAATACAGACTAACATGGCTGCTAGAGTATATTTTCCCATGTTAGTTTCTACCATCTATGCTTGTCTGATTTCACCTTAAGTGGTGAAATATGAATAAGTTTCTTAGGGCAATAAAAGCCATAAAATGCAAAAGTAAATCACTGACTTCCACTGTTGCGAACAGCCTCTGAGAAATCTCTAAAAAAAAAAAAAAGGAGTACTTGTGGCACCTTAGAGACTAACCAATTTATTTGAGCATGAGCTTTCGAAAGCTCATGCTCAAATAAATTGGTTAGTCTCTAAAGGTGCCACAAGTACTCCTTTTCTTTTTGCGAATACAGACTAACACGGCTGTTACTCTGAAACCTGAGAAATCTCTGATGGCCCTTCTTTGTATTAAAGTGGTATTCCTGCTTGTAATCTTTAACTCATTTTTGACAACTCTTCTCAGGACACCAAGAACTGTAAGCCACTGTGTTACCCCTCTGCCTCAGCAAGGGAGAGCTTTGCTGGGGCTTGACTGTCATCTCCCTGACACACCAGTCTGTCTTCATTGCCAACAAACTGCTCGAGACCCTCCCAGTCTAAACCTTGCCTTGCAGGTAACAGTCAGTGAACCCAAGTTCTAGTCAGAGAGTTCCCCAGAGATGTCTGACTGCAGCATCCAGTTCCTCTCACTAGACACTCACAGAAATTGTTTTCTGCCTCCAGAGTAAGAGAGCACGCACCAGTCTGCCAGTTTAGCTGAGAACTCACTCTATTCTTCAATATAGCAGCATTGAGATGGTACATAGTAAAACTAAGAATAAGTTTATTAATAAAGAAAAGAGATTTAAGATACTAACCAAGAGAAAAAGAGGGGTATGTTTACAAACAAAACATAATATGCTTTCTGGTGACTAAAGCTTAATCTTAGCAAGTTACAATCTTTGCCTATGCAGTTTTTTCACTTACATCAGGATACCAGCATCTCTAGCCCTCCAGGCCAGAAGATCCAAGTTTCACAAACTCAGAGGGTGCTGTCCCCTTTGTTCCCTAAGCAATGGATAATCAGAATGTCTTTTTGTTCCCCTTATATTTCCCAAAGTCCATTGCCTTTACCTCAAGAGCCAGGAAGACCTCCTGGAGATTCAGACTTCAGTTTGTCCCCTGGTGTGATCACCAAGCTGCCACTAGTTAGCTTGATTGCTTTGTTACCTTATATGTGAATGTATTTTCATTGTCCTCTGGCTTACAAAGCTTGACCCCAACAAGTACATCCACATTCCTTTGTCTGAGGCAGGCTTGTTTATCAACTCCACAACATATTTTAGAAACATATTTGCAGCAAACATACATAACCATTTATACGCTACCTGTACATACCCCAGGCAATGATATTCATGACCAGCATTTCATCAGTTTTCATAAAAGACCTTACTCAATACACATTTGTAGTACAATATTATTGTATTATGATCAGTTGATTCAAGTGCCCGTTTTTTCTCCTGGGGTGTCTGGACCCTGATTGTCCACTCATCCATATCCATTTCACTACCATTAACCAATTGCATTTGTAGCTTTATATTATGTACTCTGGACTCACATTATTTGGCAATTGCAACCCTCCTGTAACAAGATGTTTTTCCAAAACATCTCTTTTATAATGAATCCCCCTCCCTGACAAAGGGGCATTGAACAGACAAATTAAATATACTACACTTAAAGCTTCGTAAAACAGATACTGGAGGAACAGATACAATAGTAGAGTCAAAAGAAGTGATGACCTATCCAGGAACCATTAGTCTGAATATAAATAAAAATAATAAAAGTTATAGCAATCAATAGCCATTCCTTACATAGTTTGGACTCTGAGACAAATAGACCTTTATCAAATGCTGTGATCTGGCTTTGAGTGTACCTATTTCTATTTTGCCTATCCACTTTCATATGTCACCAGCTCCCATTGAAAATAATGATTCTAATCTATGTAAGGCATATGTATTCAAGATCATATCTTTTGGTGTGATATTGCCTTTTGTAACCTTTTGCATTCTGTCATTCATGCATAGGTTTAACTTTGCCCTGGAAGTAAGTTTCAGTCATGTGGTTGGGTTCTCACTCTCTCAGTTGTTGTTTGGTCCCTGATCCAACTCTCATTGAGTTCAATGGTGTGGCAAATTGCCGGTACGATTATGATGGGTCCCACGCTTCCTCTTCTTTGAGGGCAGGGGGTTCAGGGTGCAGTTTCCTGCCCCTGAAGTAGGGTATCTACTGTCCCACTAGTAACCCAGAGAAGGGTAGTAGAGAGGAAGGGACCCAGGCCTGCCCTCTACTCCGGGTCCCTGCCCAGGGTCCCTAGGGATAGTGGTAAACCACTTGAACTAGTGCTTCCTTCCCCTGGGCTACTTTCCTCTCCTGCTCTTCAGCTTGTGGGGCTTCCTGCCCGCCTCCCCCTCTCTGCACAACCTGGGTGTCTCTTTACCTAGGGTCTTGGTCTTCTAGCCAGCCACAGCACTTCTCCAAACTCTCCTCTACTTCAACTCCTTCAAACTGCTCTCTGCTTCAACTCCTTCCCCTGGCTGATTGAAGCAGGGGGTTTTTATCAGGTGACAGGCTTCAGGTGCTTTTAATTAATCTATAGAAACCTTTCTTCCCTCTACAGGGAATAAGGCTTCTCCTCATCCTGGGACTTACATATCTCTCCTATATCACTCTCCTGCTGCCTTCTGGCCATGCTGTATCACAGTGGTCACATATGACTTAGAATCATAGAATATCAGGGTTGGAAGGGACCTCAGGAGGTCATCTAGTCCAACGCCCTGCTCAAAGCAGGACCAGTCCCCAATTAAATCATCCCAGCCAGGGCTTTGTCAAGCCTGACCTTAAAAATATCTAAGGAAGGAGATTCTACCACCTCCCTAGGTAACGCATTTCAGTGTTTCACCACCCTCCTAGTGAAAGTTTTTCCTAATATCCAACCTAAACCTCCCCCACTGCAACTTGAGACCATTACTCCTTGTCCTGTCCTCTTCTACCACTGAGAATAGTCTAGAACCATCCTCTCTGGAACCACCTCTCAGGTAGTTGAAAGCAGCAATCAAATCCCCCCTCATTCTTCTCTTCTGCAGACTAAACAATCCCAGTTCCCTCAGCCTCTCCTCATAAGTCATGTGTTCCAGACCCCTAATCATTTTTGTTGCCCTTCGCTGGACTTTCTCCAATTTATCCACATCCTTCTTGTAGTGTGGGGCCCAGAACTGGACACAGTACTCCAGATGAGGCCTCACCAATGTCGAATAGAGGGGAACGATCACGTCCCTCGATCTGCTCGCTATGCCCCTACTTATACATCCCAAAATGCCATTGGCCTTCTTGGCAACAAGGGCACACTGCTGACTCATATCCAGCTTCTCGTCCACTGTCACCCCTAGGTCCTTTTCCGCAGAACTGCTGCCTAGCCATTCGGTCCCTAGTCTGTAGCTGTGCATTGGGTTCTTCCGTCCTAAGTGCAGGACCCTGCACTTATCCTTATTGAACCTCATCAGATTTCTTTTGGCCCAATCCTCCAATTTGTCTAGGTCCCTCTGTATCCTATCCCTGCCCTCCAGCGTATCTACCACTCCTCCTAGTTTAGTATCATCCACAAATTTGCTGAGAGTGCAATCCACACCATCCTCCAGATCATTTATGAAGATATTGAACAAAACCGGCCCCAGGACCGACCCCTGGGGCACTCCACTTGACACCGGCTGTCAACTAGACATGGAGCCATTGATCACTACCCGTTGAGCCCGACAATCTAGCCAACTTTCTACCCACCTTATAGTGCATTCATCCAGCCCATACTTCTTTAACTTGCTGACAAGAATACTGTGGGAGACCGTGTCAAAAGCTTTGCTAAAGTCAAGAAACAATACATCCACTGCTTTCACTTCATCCACAGAGGGTGCTGAGAGGGTGCTGCTGGACGCTCAATATTTTTGAAAATTAAGTCACTTATTTAGGTCTCTAAATATGGACTTAGACCAAGACTTAAAAAGAAAAAAGAGAGTACTTAAACAGGGGGTCCTAACACAGCAGTTTTCTCTAGCATATAAGTGTCCATTGCCCTGCAGCTTGTGAAGTCAGCTACAGTGCCAACATCTGCATATGGCAGCTGGTTTTACAATCTGTAGAGTGAGGGATGTCATCTTTTTGAAAGGCAGAACTGAGCCACAAATGTTCAATAACCTAGTTTGTTTTTTGTTTTTTCCTCTCAGGGACATGAATTCTACCCAGGAAAAAGGAACCTGCTCTTCTGAATTATTCTGTGACACTCACTCTCTCTCTGCTGTATGGAGATAAATATCCTCTTTACGTGGTGCATGTGTGCCCAGGTAAGTTTGATGCAAACGCCTCCAGTCCAGCTCACTGCACATAAGAATGACCATACTGGGTCAGACCAAAGGTCCATCTTGCCCAGTATCCTGTCTTCCAACAGCGGCCAATGCCAGGTGCCCCAGAGGGAATGAACAGAACAGGTAATCACCAAGTGATCCATCCCCTGTTGCCCATTCCCAGCTTCTGGCACAATCCATTCCAGAGTTTAGCTTTTTACTGATACGGACTATGTTAGGGCAGAGGGGAGTTTCTAAGACAACAGGAAAGCAATAACAATAGCACCAGTTAGTTCCTAATAAAAACAAACCTTAAACAGTCTTACTGTGGCTCACAACAAAACACTGTAGTAGCGCTTGCTTTAAAGTGTGAATGTGACTGTTGGGGACTTTCCTGCATTAATGCCACAGCTGTGTTTCATAAGTGAAACTACTAATGTATAAATAACTGGCAAAAATAGGTCACCTTTAAAGGTGTTAAATGTATTTTTTAATGTGAAAAGATGCTATGACATAGAACTGCTTACACAAAGGAGACAGCCAGAGATGGATTAGCTAGCTGCTTCTTCCACAAAACATATGTTTTCTTATATAATAGGTAGCATAAAATGAGATTGGTATCAATGTAATACTAAATCTTAACCCAACGTGGCCATTAAATTGTGTCTTTTGTATAACTGGGAAGAACTTTTCATTAGCCAGCTAAGTGTTACAAATAGTCTATGGTATTTCTGTTCCCAGTGTTGAAATACATTTAGGTCTGTATTTAAAATGTATATTAGATAAATTACTTTACTGTATCTGCATAGAAATAAATGTGTATTGTATAACATTTTAAAATACCAAATGTGTGTTTCTTCTTTTCAGGTCTAATATATATGTAAAAGAATTATGATGATAAAATTAACATTAAGAATGTCACCCGTACTTCAGCTTCAGTAATATGGTCACATGACCATTATATCTGTCCCAACGAGTTTTACAGGGTAATATATTGGCCCAGTTGGAACAGCATCTTGTCTGGTGTTTTGCAACAGAATTTTCACCAGGAGGAACTTATACCTTTTGAGCCATGACTTCTTGACCTTGCAGAGGCAAATACCATCTACAAACTATATCCTGTGTGTTCCGTTGCCAGGGGATAGAGCCTTCTAGAGGTCAGTGTACCAATTTTCATACAATGGCCAGAGATGCTGTGTTTCCAGCCAGCAAGATGATTGACCTGGCTATGGTTATTTGGCTCATCAGCAGTGTCCTTTTTATCATACTAGCCATTGTACTGCTCTATGGATGCCTTAGAATGTGGTGCAAGAAGTGTAAGAACACCTCAAATGGTCCTGGGACTTCAGAACATATTAGTGGTCATGCAGAAAATGCCCATTCCTGGAATGGAGTTGACATTGAAACAACCCAAATCAATGAATTTCCTACATTAATTGTAACTGATATGTTTCCAGAGATTAAACCAGAGAGAATTATTCATACACCACTTTTTGGAACAATGGCTCTGCTCTCCCACAGACTGGACTCTCATAAATTAGAAGTTCTGCCCCTAAATGGTTCTGGATAACTATAAACATTTATACTCCATGATTTTCAAACTTTACTATAGCCAATATCCTTTTAGTATTTTCAGGCACCTGAAAATACCCCTCAACAATAGACCAGCCTATAAAGGCATATTTTTCAAAGGAGGACACAATGGGTATAGCTGCAAAAATATGGGTGCACCCATTCCCCCCTCAAAATCCCATAAATAGACATGCAGATTGGCACTTATACATAACTTCTACCCAAGTATGTTAGGGAGGTGATGGATATGACTCCATAGTTAGGATTTCATTCTAAAATGGGATATAAATTAATGTTTTTCTCTAAAAGTAGATAACCTATCTGTGGAATTTCACCCAGGGACAGTTTTTATGCCCTTTGAATTTTCTGAGTAGCTTTTGTTTGGTTTTTCTTTATAGTATTTAATAAGAACTCTTGA